AGTTCTGAATTACCATCTCTTCGAAACTCCAACCTTCTCTTAGTAGCAAAGCTACACCATCTCCTCCTCTCCCTTCTCTCTCTTTCCTCACTACATAGTAGCCCTGTGGAAACACTGCGTTTGTTATGGTGTTTGTTAGCTTTGTTTCTGTGAGTGCTATTATGTCTGGGTTTTCTTCTAGTGCCCATTCTCCGAGTTCACTTGTTTTATTTGTAATTCCATCTATGTTAGTGTACATTGCCTTGAAGCTCACTTTCTTCAGTTCATTTTCTTGTCCCTGTGTGTGTGTGTGTGTGTGTGTGTGTGTGTGTGTGTGTTTACTAGTTGTGTTTTTGCGGGGGTTGAGCTTTGCTCTTTCGGCCCGCCTCTCAACTGTCAATCAACTGTTTACTAACTACTTTTTTTTTTTTTTTTCCCACACCACACACACACACACCCCAGGAAGCAGCCCGTGACAGCTGACTAACTCCCAGGTACCTATTTACTGCTAGGTAACAGGGGCATTCAGGGTGAAAGAAACTTTGCCCATTTGTTTCTGCCTCGTGCGGGAATCGAACCCGCGCCACAGAATTACGAGTCCTGCGCGCTATCCACCAGGCTACGAGGCCCCCCCTGAGCTGTGTGTGTGTGTGTGTGTGTGTGTGTGTGTGTGTGTGTGTGTGTGTGTGTGTGTGTGTGTGTGTGTGTGTGTGTGTGTGTGTGTGTGTGTGTGTGTGTGCGTACGTGTGTGTGTGTGTGTGTGTACTTACCTATTTGTACTCCCCTATTTGTGCTTGCGGGAGTTGACCTTTTGGGACTTTGGTCCAGCCTCTCAATTGTCACTCAACTGGTGTACAGGTTCCTGAGCCTACTGGGCTCTATTTACATTTGGAACTGTGTTTGGAGTCAGACTCCACCATATCACTTCCTAGTGCATTCCATTTACTAACTACTCTAACACTGAAAAGTTCTTTCTAATGTCTCTGTGACTCATTTGGGTATTCAGCTTCCATGTGTGTCCCCTTGTTCGTGTACCACCCGTGTTAAATAATTCATCCTTGTCTACTCTGTCTATTCCCCTGAGAATTTTGTGTGTGGTGATCATGTTTCCCCAAGCCCTTCTGTCTCCAAGCGACGTGAGGTACCGTTCACTCAGACTTTCCTCGTAACTCATGCCTCTTAGTTCTGGGACTAGCCTAGTGGCATACCTCTGAACTTTTTCCATTTTCGTCTTGTGCTTGACAAGGTACGGGCTCCATGCGGGGCCGCATACTCCAGGATTAACCTTACATATGTGGAATACAGGGTTCTGAAGGATCCCTTACACAGGTTTCTGACAGCAGTTCTGATATTAGCCAGCCTCGCATACGACGCCGATGTTATTCTTTTGGTTAAGGCTTCAGGAGACAGGTTTGGTGAGATAACAACTTCTTGATCTTTCTCCTTATTCGTTTCGTGTTTGTTTCGTTTCATTTCATCTCCCAATCGATATCCAATGATTGGCCTCCTATTTCCTCCCCCTTATTTTATTTCCTTCTTGCAGGGGGTTAAGCTCTGCTCTTTCGGCCCGCCTCTCAACTGTTACTAACTACTTTTTCCCCCCACACACTGTTACGGTGCCTTCTCCTATTTCTCCCGTATGCCTGCTTTAAGAGTCATATCAGCTTTTTTTAACGATTCTCTGAGATGCAGGGAATCTTTTGGTATATGTGGCGACCAGATCGGCCGCCTGATTAGGGAGAAATTTGTATTATAATTTTGAGGTAAGGGGAAAGTGGCGCCCTGATACAAATGAAATGGTACCCCTTACATGCAGATCCGCCATTTTGTGGAGGGCGCCAGCTGAGTGCGGATTGGGTGACTTAGGTCACGGGCAACCAATCAGAGCCCGTCGTGACGTCACCGAGTTCCTTGGGCGGCGCCAACGTTAGAGCTGAACTGAGTGAGAGTGGAAGGACGTTCCTCAGTCAGCTCTCGTGGTTTGGAGGCTCTTGGAGCCTTACTCAGTGGATTAAAGCTAGCCATCGCAGCCCACCATTGTTATTGGAGACCCCCGTGCTTCTGGGAAGCAAGAAGAAACCAAGTTCATTGACCAGAGAAGTGCCAAAACTTGAAAAATCGATCGGCGACGACACAGGAGGGGCGCCGCCTGATGCTGGAGGGTCTGGAAGGTGTGGCGGGCAGGCCTAGCTGTGACCGGGTCACATTCACTGAGGATTTTGGAGGGACGACACCGTTCCTAGGGCAAGGAGCAACGCCTTGTGGAAGGGGCGAGTGTGAGCATACAGTGATTAGCTCGGTGCCCACTGGTGAACCAGGATTGGAATATCTGAAACTCTGGGAGTGGTTTGGCGACGACACGAAGGCTTCACGACACCTGAGGACTTGTGGAACGTTCCTGGGTCGTCAAGGGCCGACTCAGGAAGCGTGGGAACCTCACACCATCGAGGGACAGGCGTCGTGAGCCAGGAATGAAAGGTAGATCAATTTCCCTCCCATTACCCCTTGTGTGAGTAGGCTAGATAGGCCACGATATTTACATGTGTATGTTGCAGTATAATATTGATACATTAGTAGTAGGATAGGCTGCAGGGCAGCTTGTGTCCAGGACTGTTGAAGAGGACAGTCAGTGTGTGTGGACGACGGGGCAGTTGAAGAGGAGATGGCCAACGTTGACGAAGCGGCCCCTCTGAGAGCGTGTGGCCCCTTTTATATCTGCCCAGTTGAAGTTGTTATTGTCGTGAAAGAAGAGTTGCTGACGATCTCCAGATAGTTTATTCTTATTTTCATTTCCTGTATTGATTTTAATTGTACGTGATCATGTAGCTTATGTCAGTAAATTCACATATTTTATCATGGTCGGGGAGCCGGTCGGCCGAGCGGACAGCACGCTGGACTTGTGATCCTGTGGTCCCGGGTTCGATCCCGGGCGCCGGCGAGAAACAATTGGCAGAGTTTCTTTAACCCTATGCTCCTGTTACCTAACAGTAAAATAGGTACCTGGGTGTTAGTCAGCTGTCACAGGCTGCTTCCTGGGGGTGGAGGCCTGGTCGAGGACCGGGCCGCGGGGACACTAAAGCCCCGAAATCATCTCAAGATAACCTCAAGATGTTGTTTAAATGCGCCTCCATTATAATCACTATGAGCATACATGAGGGATATCATAGTCCCACCTAGTGAACATTTCGTTATCTACAGAAGTTCTTAGTGGCTGGAGAGTGGCAAAGCAGCACAGATTTATGTTGAAATGTACCCTAGGCTATCTGTCCAGTATCAGAGCCGGAATGGTGGCAACACTTTGGCAACGAGCAATGTAGTGGCTGGAGAGAGGTAAAGCCACACAGACTTTTATGGAAGTGTACCTTGGGCTGAAAGACCAGTGTCAACCCTGTAGGAATAGCAACACTTTGGCAACAAGCAGTATAGAATACACCCACTGAACTGCACTGCTGGGGTGCAGAGATCTCAACCCAGCTGGCGACTTTGTTAAAAGAAGATAGAGAAGGCAGGCGGGAAAGGAATTCCTGCAACTTTTTGTCTGGTTGGCAAGACTCAGGGGAAGTTATTGTTGAAAGGTGAGCCTGGGTCTTCCTTCACTTCTCCACGGGTCAAGGCCGGAATTGCTTATAGCATTTTCCCCGTGGTTGACTGAAGGGCTCCCGGGGTGAATCAGTGGCACCCCCAGTGGTGGGGGGCAAAGACCTGCGGTGGTGGGTATCACTGGTTCTCTCCTGTGGGACCAGGAGACTACGGTGAATCCCAAGAGTCAGAGGAGCTGAGTATTCTGCCTTCCGACCCCTAGCAGCCGATTGCTGGCAGAGACCCAGCCTACCCTGGGGAGCCGGCGGCTGAGCGGACAGAACACTGGACGCATGATCCTGTGGTTCCGGGTTCGATCCCGGGCACCAGCGAGAAACAATGAGCAGAGTTTCTTTCACCCTGATGTCCCTTGTTACCTAGCAGTAAATAGGTACTTGGGAGTTAGTCAGCTGTCACGGGCTGCTTCCTGGGGGTGGAGGCCTGGTCGAGGACAGGGTCGCGGGGACACTAAAGCCCCGAAATCATCTCAAGATAACCTCAAGAACCACTTTGCGATCAGGTTGAGGACAACTACGGTAGCGGAGCGAAGGATAGAGATCATGGCATAGCTCACAGCTCGAGAAGAGACGATGGGAGAGGAGCCGTCCCAAGAAGGGCCGTCACAAGGTGAGCTGTCCCAAGTAGAGCCGTCCCAAGCACCTACCAGTGTAGCCAGAACTCACAGTGAACGTGGAAGCAGCGGAAGATCAGTTAGTAGCAGGAAGATCGTGTAGCTGGAGATAATATAAATGCAATTAGAAGCCCAACTGTGACGAGAAGAAAGAGAAGCGCAGTTGCACCGTAAGGAGCGAAAAAGGAAGGCACAGCAGAAACGGGAAGAAAGAGAAGCGCAGCGTGAGGAGCGAGAAAGAGAGGCAGAGCTGAAACGAGAGGAAAGGGAGGCACAGCTGAAACGAGAAAAAAGGGAGGCACAGCTGAAACGAGAAGAAAGGGAGGCGCGGCTGAAACGAGAAGACAGGGAAGCCCAGCAACGAATGCGGCGAGCCGAGATAGAGGCGAACAGGGAGGTCGAGTTGAGGCGTGTTGAACATGGGTTATTCTCGATACCTGCATGCCAGGACGACCTCAAGGCCTGGAAGCGCGATCTACCCACCTTCGATCCTCTGGAGGCCTAGGCTTTCTTCGACCATTTTGAGAGGAATGCAACTTTGAAGGAATGGCCGGAGGAGGATTCGGCTGCGTTAGTGCAGAGTAGATTGACTGGTGAGGCCATAGAGGCTTATAACATGTTGGACATCGAGGAGTGCGCTATATAAGACACAATCAAGAAAGAGGTGCTCCACTTATATAGACTAACCCCGGAGGTCTACAGGAAATGCTTCCGTGATTGCACAAGGGCATCAGGAAGGACATATGCTGAGACTGCTCAAGACATGGAGCGCAGGTTTCTACGATGACTGAAGGCCGAAGAGGTAGAGACGATGGAGGAGCTGAAGCAGTTGATTGTTATGGAAAAGTTCATGTCGATGCTCCATCCGGAACTCAAGGTCAGAGTAAAGGAGGCAGGAATAAAGGACCTTAAAGCTGCAGCGGACCGAGCCGACATGCTGGAGGAGGTACTGCATCTCAGAAGGGAGGGACTGCCCAGACACTCGCCTTACCTAAGGTTTGGAGGGAACTTCAAGAGTTCAGGAGGAACGAGGATGGGCGGGGACACTCCCAAAAATAGTATGCATAATGAAGTAAATCGGTTCAAAAGCTCGAGAGACGCGGGGAGGAAGCCCCAAGCTGTGAGCAGTGGACCGAGCTCGAGAGCCGAAGTGCTGCCCGGGATCCGACGACAGGAAGTCCAAGGAGGACCCAGGGAACCTCTACCATTGGTACTACCAGGGTGACTGGTAGAGGGTTGACCAGGAGAGGCGGCCGGTGTTACAACTGTGGGGGGCAAGGGCATTTTGCACGGGAGTGCAATCCCCCAAGGCACAGTGGAAACGTCGCTTTCACGAGAGTAGGAAGCGAAGGAGACAACGATACCTTAGGTGATATGCCGGTGATGAGGGAGAAGAGGATTCGCCCCTTTGTGTGTGAGGGTCAGGACACGTGACAGGCGAGGAAGAGTTGGATAGGACTATCCAAGATAGAAGAGTTTCCTGAGTTGGTACGGGAGGCTGAAGGAGGTCTCGCCGGACCCGAGTCACCGACTCACTTCTTCATGGAGATGGAAGTACTAATGAGGCAGTGGAGACCGGTAAGGGAAGAAGCGGGTGATGGTATGTTGAGAGTGAGGTGTCAGGTGGTGTTGCCGGTGCGGTACAGAAACGCGGTCCTGGAGCATGCACACTCAGTGGATCTTGCGGGTCACTTGGGAGTAACTAAGACCTTATTTCCGGCTTCGGGAACAGTTTTATTGGTCGGGCATGGATGTGGATGTAAGAAGAATCTACAAGACGTGTTTCTCGTGCCAGAGGGTGGGGAAGAACGTCCATCCCGAAAGCACTTCTGGTTGTAGTTCCTGCGTTTGGCCAGGAGTTTGAGAGCCTAATAATCGACGTTGTGGGGCCATTACCTAGGACAAGAAAGGGAAATAATTACTTATTGACCATCATGTGTGCTCCGACGAGATTTCCAGAGGCGATCTCAGGTGCGGAAGGTGACATCGAGATGCGTCATGGGACACTTTCAGCTGTTCTTCGCTTGGGTAGGAGTGCCCAGGGAGATCCAGTCTGACTGCGGAAGTGTTTTCCAGTCGAAGTGGTTTAGGCAGGCTATTGCGAGCTGGGGAAAAGCCCAACTACGATCGTCACCTTATAGACCTCAATCGCAGGGAGCGATTGAGAGGTTCCACTCCACTCTGAAGACCTGTGGAGTAAGGGTGTATTGTGCAGAATGGGATGAGGCTGTCTGTCCAGCCCTGTTTGCAATCAGAGATGCTATAGTTGAGTCTCTAGAATTTTCTCCATTCCATCTAGTGTTTGGGCATGAAGTAAGGAGCCCGTTATTGATGCTGAAGGAGCAGTTGACGGCGGAGAAGACGTTAGTGACAGTAGAGGAGTATGTGCAGGGATTCCATGAACGATTGAAAACGGCGAAGGAGCTGGCTGCTGAGCACCTGAAGACAGCTCAAGAGGAGATGTCGATCAGGTACGAAAAGAAGGCTGTCCCAAGGGAGTTTGAGGCAGGAGACAGAGTGATGATGTTGCTTTCTAGGAGAGGTAGAGTGACGGAATCACGCTTTGGTGGTCCATACTCGGTTGCTCGGCGTGTGGGTCCTGTAAGTTATGAGATCAGCAAGCCGAATAACCCCCGCAAGACACAGGTATGTCATACCAACCGTTTGAAGCCATACTTCCCAGAGGAGCAAGAGAGTGAAGGGAGTAACACAGTCGCAAGACGGGAAATTGGTTCTGTGTATGGAGATGAGCCAAGTGTTGCCAGCAGAGGAAGGAAAGTGGGCCTGTGCCGATGGTATGCGCCTGTCAAATACAGAAAGTTTGATAGATCTAGAAGAGAGGCTGCATCACCTGGATAAAGGGCAAAGGAGAGATCTAGTGACCTTGATAAGAAAGAGCAAGTGACTCTTCACATATGTGCTCCGAAGGCATAAGAGTGTGGTGCACGAACTGGACGTGCGCGGAGGAAAGCCAATCAAGCAGAGTGCTTATCGGTTGAGTCCTGAGAAGAGGTAGATCATGCGACAGGAGATTGAGTATCTACTAGCGAATGATCTCGCTGAGCCCAGCAACAGTGAGTGGGGCTCGCCCTGTGTGCTGGTCAAGAAGAGTGATGGATCATATCGTTTTTGCACCGACTATCGCAAAGCGAACTCCATAACCGCGTCGGATTGTCACCCGATGCCCCAAATAAGTGATTGCGTCGACCAAGTGGGAAACGCAAGGTTTGTCACCAAGGTCGACCTGCTGAAAGGGTCGATCCAATCCCTTTGTCTCCGAGTGCAAAAAGGATCTCAGCATTTTCCAGACGGATTGTACCAGTACAAAGTGCTTCCGTTTGGTATGAAGAACAGTGGAAGTTGTTTTCAGAGGATGATGAACGAAGTGCTAAGAGGGATGGAAGGCTGCGCCGTGTACATAGACGATATAATGGTGTATGCCGATTGCTGGAAACAACACATGAGTCGACTGAGGGATTTGTTCCAACGGTTGGAAGAAGCGAACCTGACAGTTAATCTGGCCAAGAGCGAGTTCGGTAAGGCCCGATTATAATATTTAGGTTTCGTCGTGGGCCAAGGAGAAGTGACTCCAGAAGAACAGAAAGTCATGGCAATCAAAGAATATCCGAATCCCAAGATGAGGAAAGAGTTGTTACGATATCTGGGGATGATTGGATACTATAGAGGATTTTGCAAGAACTTCTCGACAGTTATACACCCTCTGACTGAATTGCAATCTAAGAACGTTAGATGGAAATGGGGGGAAGCATGCCAGGAGTCCTTCGAGAAGACTAGGAAGTTGTTAACCGAAGCACCAGTGCTGATTTCACCTGACTTTGAGTCAGACTTTATCTTGTATGTCGACGCTAGCGATGTGGGGATTGGAGCCATGTTAGCTCAAGAGAAGGACTGAGTTCACCATCCAGTGGCATTCTACTCGAAGAAATTTGAAAAGTACCAGTGGGCTTATAGTACAGTGGAAAAGGAAGCCTTAGCCCTGAAGCATTTCGACGTCTACGTGGGTGGAGGTACTAGACCGGTGCGAGTGTTCACCGATCATAACCCCTTGACGTTTGTGCACAGGATGAAGAACTCGAACCAAAGGCTGACAAGATGGGCCCTACTGTTACAAGAGTACTGGGTTGAGATTTGGCTCTTTGGTCCCTCCTCTCAACTGTCAATCAACTGATGTACAGATTCTCGAGTCTACTGGGCCCTATCATATCTAAATTTGAAACTGTGTATGGAGTCAGCCTCCACCACTTCACTGCCTAATGAATTCCACCTGTTAACTACTCTGACACTGAAAAAAAAATTTCTAACGTTCCTGTGACTCATTTGGGTACTCAGTTTCCACCTGTGACCCCTTGTTCGCGTGTCATCAGTGTTAAACAATTTATCCTTATGGATAAATATCCTTTCAATTCCTCTGAGAATTTTGTAGGTGGTGATCATATCTCCCCTTACTCTTCGGTCTTCCAGTGCTTTGAGGTGCATTTCACACAGCCTTTCCTCGTAACTCATGCCTCTTAGTTCTGGGACTAGCCTAGTGGCATACCTCTAAACTTTTTCCAGCTTCGTCTTGTGTTGACAAGGTTCGGGCTCCATGCTGGGGCGCATACTCCAGGATTGGTCTTACATATGTGGTATACAAGGTTCTGAATGATTCTTTACACAGGTTCCTGAAGGCTTTTATGATGTTAGCCAGCCTCGCGTATGCCGCACATGTAATTCTTTTTACGTGGGCTTCAGGAGACAGGTTTGGTGTGATATCAACTCCTAGATCTTTCTATCTGTCCGTTTCATGAAGTACTTCATCTCATATTCGGAGCTGCACTGGAGGCTGTGTCTGGCCTCTTGTTTCCACCGCCTAGTTTCATTACCTTGCATTTACTCGGGTTGAACTAAAATAGCTATTTGTCGGACCATTCATTCAGTCTGACTAGGTCATCTTGTAGCCTCCTACTATCTTTCTCTGTTTTAATTCTACTCATAATTTTTGCATCATCAGCAAACAATGAGAGGAACGAGTTTATTCCCTCTGGAAGAACATTTACATTTATCAGAAACAGTATAGGTCCTAGGATTGAATCCTGCGGGACTCCACTGGTGACGTCTCGCCAATCTTACCCCTCACAGTGGCTCGCTCTCTTCTGTTGCTTAGGTACACCCTATATCCAAGGGAGTACCTTCCCTTTCACTCCTGCCTGCGATTCCAGCTTTTTTGCTATCATCTTGTGTGGTACTGTGTCAAAGGCTTTCTGGCAATCCAAAAATATGCAATCTGCCCACCCCTCTCTTTCTTGCCTTGTCGTAGAATTCAATTAATCCAGTGAGACAGGACTTGCCATCCCTGAACCCATGTTGATGCATTGTTACAAAGTTTTTTTCGCTCTAGATGTTCCACAAGTTTTTTACACACAATCTTCTCCATCTGCTTGCATTGTATGCAAGTTAGGGACACTGAACACTGGTTCAGTGCCTCCTGTCTATCACCCTTCTTGTATATCGGGACTACATTAGCCGTCTTCCAAGCTTTCACTCCACCTGTTACCAGTGATTTCTTATACATCATGGAGAGTGGAAGGCACAGTGCTTCTGCTCCTTCCTTTAGTATCGATATTGAGATTCCATCCGGGCCAATAGCCTTTGTCACATCCAACTCTAGCAGATGCTTCCTCACCTCCCCACTGGTTTTCACAAACTCATCTACTGGTGTTTGGTTTGGTATTTCCTCTCTTATCTCTGGGACTTCCCCTTGCACTACTATGAAGACCACTTGGAATCTCTTATTGAGTTCCTTACACACTTCCTTTTCGTTAGTAATGAATTTGTTTATCCCTATCCTCCGTTTCAGTACCTGTACCTTCACTGTTGTTTTTCTCCTGATGTGGCTGTACAGCAATTTAGGTTGAGTCTTTCTGCCTCTCTTCTCACCCTGACGTATTCATTCTTGGTATCCTGGTATTTTTTTCTGCTCACTAGTGTCCTATTATTTCTATTGTTCCTCCACGTTCTTGTAGTTAGTTGCTATGATAGCCTACACCTCTGATTAAACCATGGGTTTCTATTCTTCATTTCATTGTTTTCCTCTTGGACCGGGACAAATTTATCTGCTGCGTCCTTACTCTTCTGCGTGATGTAGTCCATCATGTCTTGAGCCGTCTATCCCCCTGAGCTCTGTTTCCCGTTATATCTTTTTGGAATTTTCTTATCTCCTCATAGTTTCCCCTTGGAATGCCAGCCTTTTGTTTTCAATTCCCCTCCTCGAGTTCACGAACCCTTCTTCAACCTGATACTGAAACGTCAGTACACTGTGGTTGCTCATTCCTACTGGGGCCTCGAAACCGATTTTCCTTATGTCGGAGTCGTTCAGGGTGAATACTAAGTCGATTCCCTGATTCCATTTTGGGTTCCCTGACATGCTGGTTTAAAATCTTTATTGTCACCACCTCCAATAGTTTAGCCCTCCATGTATCCTCACCTCCATTCGGTTCCTTGTTCTCCCAGTCTATCCTTCCATGATTAAAGTCCCCCATGATGAGCAGATAGGATCTATTTCTACAGAGAGCTGAGGCTGCCCTCTCAATTCTAGTGTTCACTGTAATGTTGTTGTTGTCATACTCTTGCCTGGGTCTTCTGTCATTTGGTGAAGGGTTATATATCACTGCAAATACTACTCTTGGTCCTCCCATTGTCATGGTGCCTGTTATGTAGTCTCTGAATTTCTCGCAGTCCTGGGATAACACTCTCCTTGAAACTCCAATCATTTCTCATTAGTAGGGCCACTCCACCTCCTCCCCTTCCTTCCCTCTCTTTCTTTATTACAGTGCAGTCCTGGGGAAACACCGCATTCGTTACGATTCTTGACAGTTTTGTTTCAGTTAGTCCGATTACATCCGAGTTCACTTCTTGTGCTCTTTCCCTTAGTTCGCTTGCCTTGCTTGTATTCCTGTCTATGTTCGAGGATATCACCTTGAAAGTGACTCTCCTCTGTCCTTCCTAAGTTTCTGTTGGTTCCCCTGAAGAAAGGAAACAGGGAGGGACCGGGATGGGAGGGACCGGGATGGGAGGGCCTATGAAGAGGGACTTGGAGGATCTGGGGTGTATGGCGGCTGGAAGGATCTGATACAAGGAGAGAAGTGGAGAAGGGAGGGCTTGGGCAGGAGAGAGGACTTGGGGGTGGGAGTGGGTGAGAGGGGGAGGCTATGGGGGATGGGTGAGAGGGAGGTTTGGGGGTGGGAGTGGGTGAGAGGAGGAGGCTTGGGGGAGTTTGGGAGAAAGGGAGGCTTTGGGGGAGGGGTACAGGAGGAGGGAGGACTTGGGGGGATTGGGGAGAAGGGGAGAAGAGGAGGGAGGGATTGGAGGTGGGGGGGAAGGGAGGGCTGATGGGGGAGGAAGGAGGGAGTGTTTAGGGAAGTGAGGGAGAAAGGAGGGCTTAGGGGGTGGGGGAGAAGGGAGGGCTTGGGAGGGTCAGGGAGAAGGGAGGTCCTGGAGAGTGGGTGAGTGGGAGGAAGGGTACCCTATGTGTTCACCTAGTGGGGGGCTGGCAGGGATTGGGGCAGGAAGGACATCTATTGATTGGAAGGTAGGGGGTGGTGCTTCTCTCTCTGTGGCTGTTGTACTGCTTGTGGAGGGTTTCCCACTCCCCTCTGGGAGTGTAGGATTCGGGGTTGTGGTTCCCTGATTCATTTCTTTTACCCTGCGCTCCCTCCTTGCATCTGCTGCCCTCATTCTCTCGTCCCTTGTCATATTCCTCTGTAGGAATACTTTTTTGAACTTCCATATATTTACTTGTTTGCTCTTCCTTGCAAACAGGTCCTTTTTTGTGTTCTCGCTCTTGAATACCACCTTTGTCAATCGGTCTCTGTCCTTGCTGTACTGTTCGAACCTAAAAACCTTTTCAACACTCTGGTCAGCCCTCTCCATATTTTCCCCTTTAAGGGGCAATAGGGTCCGAAATTAAAATGATTCGATTTCAATCAAACTTTTTTGATGAGTTATATATGAAAAGGGCTTCATATGGTCCAAGTCTCAGCATCGTAGCATAAATAGGTAGGGAGAAAAATATATTCAATTATGTGTCAAAAATTTTCCAAGATGGTCAAAAACAATTATCAAACACAATTGTGAACTGAAATCATGTCTATGACTCTCAGCTATCACAGTAGCACATATTAAAAAATATATATAATTAGTTTTATTAAAAAAAAAAAGTTATTTATTTTGTTTAATTTGATTTTTTTTATCGGACGATTTGCAAGAAACTTATACACCGACAGACTGCACGTAATCTGTAAAGGTGCCAATTTTAGAGGAAATTTCTTGATGTCAACCTCAAGTCACAGATGGCAGCCTCTAAGACTTTATTTTTTCTTATTTATTTTCAAGTAACATAAAGGTTCATATAACTCTTTCATTTTTTGTATTCAATTTACATGCATCGTGCACCTTATATGTAGAGTTTTTGTCTCTAAAATCTGTGGCCAGCGTTTTTTCCTAAGTTCACTTATTGATTTTATAATAGCAATAAATATGATATATGTGCATTTTTTGGGGGGGGGTGAACTTTGATTATTTGTAATAGTAAAACTAAACATATTTTGAAAAATCCCCGGCATCAGATCCTTTATTATATGCTAATGTGTCAGAAAAGTTTCATAGAATGATTATATCTGAAAGGTGTGGTTGTATGTACACTTGTAAATGTGTAATATTCATTGAAAAAAAATCTCCCTTTTTATTTAGGCTGCAGTACTGAAACTTGGAACAATTGCAGCCCTTTTCATATACAACTCGTGAAAAAAGTTTGATTGAAATTGAACCAATTTTCATTTTTGATTATATTGGTCCCTTAAGGATCTCATTAACTTTGTTTTTGTCCTTGTCTCTCTACTCCGCCATACTGGACCCTGTTTTCTCCTTAATTCCTACTATTACTACTGTTCTTCTTCGCTCTATCAGCCGGCTAGTACATCTAGTTGCTTCCTTAGAAGAAGTCACTTCCATGACAACTTCCCTTAATGCAGACATAGATTCAGGGTTCATTCTAAACAATTCTGCAAATGAGGGTTGTTTTGTAGAGGTCACCTCTACAGGAACATTACCATCTTTTGGAGGGATGGTTTGTATCTGGTATTGGGGAGGATTCTCTTTCAGGCTTCTCATTTCCTCTTTTGCTGCCTTCAGCTCATCCCGCAGGTTGGTTACTGTCTCTCTCATTACCCTCAGTCCTTCACTGAATTCATTCTACATTTGTACGAATGCTTCCCTAATCCAGGCATCCTGTCCCTCCCCTTCCTCTGAGTTTGTTCCTGCCATGTTAGTCTCCCTGCGTTTGCCTCCCCGAGTTTGTCTCCCTGTCATGTTTTTTTTCCCGATGAGACAGAAAGGGGGGGGGGAGAGAGAGAGGGAGAGAGAAAGAGAGAGGGAGGGAGAGAGAGGGAGAGAGAGGGGGAGAGAGGGGGGAGAGAGGGGGGGGAGAGAGGGGGAGAGAGAGAGAGAGAGAGAGAGAAGAGAAGGGAGAGATAGAGAAGAGAGAAGTGTTTGTGTGTGTGTGTGTGTATTGTGTGAGGGGTGGTATGGGGGGGGGGTGATAACCAGTGGAGGGAAAATGTGGTAGAGAGGGAGGGAGTGAGGGAGAGCGGTGAATAGATAGGGGGGAGATGGATTGATAGGGGGGTTGATGGATAGAGATAGAGAGAGGAGAGTGAGAAAAGGATGGGAGGAGGGAAGATGGGGGAGAGGGAGAGGGGGTGTTGTGTTAGTGGAAGGATGGGGAGGGTGTGTGGGGCGGTTAAGAGTGGGGGAGGGATGTGGGAGGGTGTGGGCCCTATGGGTGATAGGCTGTGTGTGTACTGTTGGAGGTGTTATGGTGAGAGGGGGTGGGGAGGGAGATAAGGTGGGTAGTTACCTGGTGGAGGGCATAATGTTTTTCACATGTAGGTGCCCCCAAACTAGTACCCAAGTGAGCCGTATATTGTCTCTTGAGGTTCGTTTCCGTTTGTTAACTTATATCCAAGACTAACTATTATATTGCAATAACACTGTACACCGTATAATTGGCTGACTTATTGAGAGGTCTTACTAACAAGTCAACATCTCACAGCACAACTATGTGTTGAGAAGTACTGTTGACGGACCCTTGATGACGGCTTGTTTACGTCCCTGTAGGCTGTTGATGTCCACGCCGCTGCCAGGCGTCAATCACTACAACTTACTTCTCACTATATGTCACCAGTAATCAACATCTTGTTACCCTTAGTACTGGTATAGCTCTAATGCTACATATTTATACTTACTTCTTCACTTTTCTATTCACTATTTGCTTTGAGATTCACTATCACGTCTAGGTATGTACACTCTGTACTAGCGGTGGCGGCAACGTGCTTGTCGTGGCACTGATGTGTGTGTGTGTGTGTGTGTGTGTGTGTGTGTGTGTGTGTGTGTGTGTGTGTGTGTGTGTGTGTGTGTGTGTGTGTGTGTGTGTGTGTGTGTGTGTGTGTGTGTGTTCGCTTGTATAGGCATTTATTCTTTTGCTCAGGTGTGGGCGTGTATAGTAGGCGGGGCGCTGGTGGCGGGCGTGATGCTGGGTGTAGTGCAGAAGGTGGAGGATAACATCTTCACAGTCCACGCCAAGTCCCCAGCCGCCCACGCCAAGTCCCCAGCCGCCCACGCCAAGTCCCCAGTCGCCCACGCCAAGTCCCCAGCCGCCCACGCCAAGTCCCCAGTCGCCCACGCCAAGTCCCCAGCCGCCCACGCCAAGTCCCCAGCCGCCCACGCCAAGTCCCCAGCCGCCCACGCCAAGTCCCCAGTCGCCCACGCCAAGTCCCCAGCCGCCCACGCCAAGTCCCCAGTCGCCCACGCCAAGTCCCCAGCCGCCCACGCCAAGTCCCCAGCCGCCCACGCCAAGTCCCCAGCCGCCCACGCCAAGTCCCCAGTCGCCCACGCCAAGTCCCCAGCCGCCCACGCCAAGTCCCCAGTCGCCCACGCCAAGTCCCCAGCCGCCCACGCCAAGTCTCCAGTCGCCCATGTTGTCGAACAGACTGCATACGTATTCAAGACCTGGGTTTTCCAAGGTTAGGTTGTTGTGACTATTGATGTTAATTTTGATTTTTTCAGTTCCTTCACGTGTACATGTTGACACCCACAAGACCCCCACTTGCACACACACAAGTAACTAGGTAGTTATCAGCAGGCGCCACCCTGGGCACACTGTGTAGCATTCCACCCAACCCCTCCCCCCTCCCTCGACACACACACCCACTAACCCCCCCCCCCTCCCTAACACACACACACACACACTAACCCCCCCTCCCTAACACACACACACACACACACACACACACACACACACGTACTCACCCCCCTCCACCCAATACGCACGCACGACCGCACGCACATCAGGGAGCAAATAAAGATAAGTGAGTGAGAGTAGTGGGGAAGATAAGAGTCATACTATTTTTTGGAAAAAATACCCACTTTAGTCCTCAGCCACTCTCATACCCCTCCCCCATCCTCCAACTGTACCGACGCCTGAAGTGATTGATCTAGTCCTCAGCCTTTTTTTACCCCCAAGTAGAGGGATGAGTAAACAAATGGAGGAGGAACAGAGAGAGAGAGAGAGAGGGGGGGTGACAGAGAAGTAGTGAAAACGACGAATGATTGAGACACAGAGAGGAAGGGGGAGCCGAGAAAGAAAGGGGCATGGCGGACGGGAGAACAGAAAGAAACGGGAGATATATATAGAGAGGATGTAACAGAGAGAGGGGGAAACAGAGAGGGAGGCATGAGGAAACAGAGAGGGAGGGGGGCATAAACGGAGGGTGAACAGAAATTAGGGGGAAGAGAGAGGGCTGGGGAAGAGAGAGGGAGGGGAAAGAGAGAGGGAGGGGAAAGAGAGAGGGAGGGGAAAGAGAGAGGGAAGGGGAAAAGGGAGGGAGGGGGGAAGAGAGAGGAGGGGGAAGAGAGAGGGGGGAAGAGAGGGAGGGAGAGAGAGAGAGAGAGAGAGAGAGAGAGAGAGAGAGAGAGAGAGAGAGAGAGAGAGAGAGAGAGAGAGAGAGAGAGAGAGAGAGAGAGAGAGAGAGAGAGAGAGAGAGAGAGAGAGATGGGGGAAAGAGGAAGCAGAGTTTTTCTATATCACTGCTACATCACTGAATGGTGTCCAACATGCTACATCATGTATGTGCCATATAACACACATCTACAACACCAACTCTGGACCATATCTCACACACCATACCACACACAGCGCCAACCCTTGGCCATATAGCACACATTTGACCACTAACAGCACCAAACCTGGGCCATATAACACACATCTAACCACAAAAAACTGTAGGCCATATAACACACATCTGAACACATTCAATGCCAATCCTGGTCCATATAGCACACACACACCTCACCACATACAGCACCAACACTGGGGCCATATTGCACACACCTAATCACAGTTAGCTCCAACACTGGGGCCATATAACACACATCTGATCACATGCAGCACCAACACTGGGGCCATATAACACAAATCTGATCACATGCAGCACCAACACTGGGGCCATATAACACACATCTGATCACATGCAGCACCAACACTGGGGCCATATAACACACATCTGATCACATGCAGCACCAACACTGGGGCCATATAACACACATCTGATCACATGCAGCACCAACACTGGGGCCATATAGCACACATCTGATCACATGCAGCACCAACTTTGGACCATATAATTCACATCGGACAGCATATATCATCATCTCTGGGCCATATTACATATATCTGACAACAAAAATACATACCCTGGGCAATATAACACATACCCGGTATCGCACAAGGTCAACCCTGGATCATATAGCAGTAATGGAACCGGAGTCTAATAACTCGTCTATTACCCGGCCGTCAGTTAAGTATTCAAGAAGTTCTCCATGGTTCCTACTGCCACCTCCAGTTCATCACCCTGTAACCTCGGTGTTTGATCACCTCACTCCCACAAAACAAGACACTGTACCTGGTCAGCTACCAGTAAACTCTAGAGACGCTAACGGTTTCTCACTGCCACCACCTGCCTTCAATAATTCACTGAATAATTCCCCTAATTGACGGTGAAGCAGGAAACCGTCAATTAGAGATAAATCCCCGAATGTGAATTTCCAATTATATGAAACGGAGGAATGAATCTACTTTAAAGTGTGGACTAACTCAACAAAAGAGCTTATATATATTTTAAGTCGACTAAGGGTGTGCTTGTAAAGTACACAGGAGCTTATTCATTAAAACAGGATCGTGGCTGATCAGAAATGATAAATTATACATTTAAATGGGAGGGGGGGGGGGTTAACTCTCTACACAATGGACATCATTAAATAATTATTTATTACACAAACGTTATATATATTAATATATATATATATATATTAATATATATATATATATATATATATATATATATATATATATATATATATATATATATATATATATATATATATTATATATATATATATATATATATATATATATATATATATATATATATATATATATATATATATATATATATATATATATATATATATATATATATATATATATATATATATATATATATATATATATATATATATATTGCAACAATGATCGAACCCGTCTGTGACATTCATCAATGTTTCCCATTGTTGTGTTTTTCAAGAGATCCATAACCTTTAAGCACCTTTTTGCATTATTATTTTTGTATCAACCCATGTATATCTTGTAACCATCAAATGCATAATAAAGCACAAAAAATAAAAAAGGAAGGGGGTGGTAGGAGAAAAGCACACAGAAACTGTATTGGAGGGGATCTAAACATTCCCTCTAATGCGTTATGCGTGGTTTCCTCCGAGGCTATGGGTCCCCCTTCTTCCAGCTAGAGGTGGTACTCTTTATTCATTTAAAAAAAAAAAAAAATATATATATATATATATATATATATATATATATATATGTGTGTGTGTGTGTGTGTGTGTGAGAAAGCTGCATGAACGCGCAAGCCATATATCACTAAGAACTCTTTGACCCGGCCAGGATTCGAATCCATGCCGTCCAGGATCAACCCTAAACGTACACAGTACCGTGACCACCGCACCAATGATCGTCTAGACGATCATTGGTGCGGTGTACTTTAGGGTTGATCCTGGACGTACGTACGTACACAGTGATCCTTCCCCGATCACTGTGTACGTTAAGGGTTGATCCTAGACGGTATGGGTTCGAATCCTGGCCGGGTCAAAGAGTTCTTAGTGATTATATATATATATACACACATATGGTACAAAAGTTTTGGGTGAGGTGATTGACATTTGTACAAGACAGAACACGAACCAATGGGCATACACATATAGGAATGGATGTAACTGCAGAAGGCCTATTGGCCCATAATTCCTCTTGATGCTTCTATATTGGTTCGGAGTCTTGAAGTGGGTAGAATATAGTTGTGCATTAATTGGCTCTTGATTGCTGGTGTTGATTTTTTGATGTGTAGTGCCTCGCAGATGTCGAGCCTTTTGCTATCGTTGTATCTATCGATGATTTCTGTGTTGTTTGTTAAGATTTCTCTGATGATGGTCTGGTTGTGAGAAGAGATTATATGTTCCATTAGTGGTAACCTTCTTTAAAGACACCTTGCAAGCAGAACTTAATGCAGATTGAAGAAAGATTCGAGGTAACTACAGAAGCACCATACTGTCCCCTGAACTCAAAGTGGCAGTTTAGAGTCTTCGTGAGAACAAGGAGATAGTCGTTAGGAGAGATGACAAGTCGCCAAAATACGTTATTCTTAAAAAAGACGAATATCTGGCGAAAATGAACCTCATACTCTCTGACCAAACTAAATTCCAAAGGGTAACGAAGGACACTACAGCCAAAACGAAGGTAAACAGATTTATCGAAATTGTGAATGCCAAGAAATCCAGACTCCACCTACCAAAGGTTGTTGTGGAATACAAACCTAGGTATGCGTATGGAAATTTCAAGACCCACAAGCCAGGAAACCCATTTCGGCCAATCATCAGCCAGATATCCTCACCCACATACAGACTGGCGAAGCGTCTCAACGGGTTGCTGACTCCTTACGTTCCTTGTGCTTTCAGCCTGAAGTCTCCCAAGGAATTTGTCGACTTACTGCGGGGATCACGGGCCACGGGGATAAGAACCTCGTTGGATGTAGAGTCACTATTTACCAACGTACCTGTGGATAAAACAAACGGGATGGCAGCAGACCGAGTGTATCGTGACCCAGCTTGCACTCCTCTTGACATGCCAGAAAACATACTAGGAAACTATTTCACTAAAGAGGCACCCTTTTTGAGCCCAGATGGGCACATTTATAAGCAAGTAGATGGGGTCACCATGAGTTCTCCCCCTAGGTGTCCTGTTTGCTAACTTCTTCATGGGCACCGTCGAGCAGAGGGTCTTAGTTGACATGGACTTGAAACCCGCCATATACTGCAGGTATGTTGAGGACATTTTTACGCAGGTACCTGATGCCAGATGTCTGCAGCAGCTAAAGGAGGCATTTGAGCGGAATTCTGTGTTGAGTTTCACTTATGAGATGGAGAATAATGGGAAGCTGCCTTTTCTGGATGTACCAGTCACGGAAAGGAGCAGAGGCTTCCACACTGCAGTCACACTAAGCCACACTAAGGAAACAAACATAGGAATGTGCCTCAATCCCAATAGTGACTGCCCAGACAGGTACAAGAGGAGTGTTGTCAACGCTTACGTCGACCGTGCTCTCAGCCACAGCTCAGGATGAAAGGAAGTCGATGAAGAACTCTGTAGGGTAAGGCAGGTCCTAGTCAACAACGGCTTCTGTAATGGTTTCTTTGAAGACTTCATAAAGAGAAAGGTGAAACGCCATGCAGCTTTTGAAGAGTCAACCAACACGACACTTGTACCCCCTATTAGACCTATTTACAAAAACTTCTTTTCGACGGCTCATAAAACAGAGGAAAGAGTCCTGAAAGATATTGTTAATAGGAACATTATCCCTACAGACAAAAGTCAGAAATAGAATTGGTAATTTATTATAAA